TTGCTAGAAAACCTTAAAATTGGCCATCGCCACCTCGAGATTCATAGACATAATAAAAATGAGATTTCGAGTCTTAAAAATAGTTTATCTACTAACCCATTATCTATCTACTTTTAAGATTTTTTAATGTTTATAGATAGGCTTGATCCTTACTGTTTCTTAAACTTCAAATTTCTTAATCGAGAGAAATAATAGATTGCAGCATTGAAAATGATTTTCAGCATGGTTTTGGAGTACACCTTACTACAATACTAAGGTCGACACCTCATAGGGAAATGCACTTTTTCTTTGGAATAGGTGTACTCTATGATATGTAGGGAAATTGTTTTAGAAAAGTGCAAAGAAGCAATGCTATTCGTTGGCGCATCGGAGCGCGGGACCACGTAACCAACGTAGAAAGATGAACCTGCTCCGATTCGCCAACATGGCGAAAAAGTTGCCGCCCTTTTTATGACATGCACCACACCGAGCGAATCAAGAGAGAGAGAGAGAGAGAGCATTTATTTTCACTGTAGAGAGAAGTAAGAGTGACCTCCGGTGTGAGAGGAGAGAGAAAACTCCTATACTATGGGAGAGGAGAGGAGAGGAGAGAAAGCAACCTCCACTGCGAGAGAACAATCCTTTTATGACCAAATAGTGAGAGAGCAATGTTGTCACTTTCAGTTCTTTTTTTTTTATTTAATATAAATAAATTAGATATTTATAGATAAATATATAAAATAATTAAAATTTTAAAGTAAAATTTTTTTTTAAAAAAATTATATAGATATTTACTTGTTTAAGCTGAATGGACTTAAAACACACTAAAGTAACAACACCAGGCTTTGAGTCATTTCGATCTAGACCTAAAAATCCATGGCTTCAATCTCTTCAAAAGGAAGCAAATTTGACAATACTGAACGAGTGAGTGAGAGAGAGAAAGAAAGAAACCTCCTATATTACAGAGAGGAGAGATCTCCACTATGAGAGCCCTTTCATGACATGCACCAACTCGATAACTAAATGACAGAGAGATCGGACCACTAGAGTAAGTCCACTAAGTTGACAATTGTTGGGCAAGCCACCAATTCAACTCGATAACGAATGAGAGGGAGATCGGACCACTATGTTGACAATTGTTGGGCAAGCCACCACCAATTCAGTGTGGATATGGCACCCTAAACCCACGATTAGGACGGGGGATATTATAATAATAATAACAATAATGGATAGCTTTTCTCTTATTTTATTGGGTATCCCAACGTTCTCTCTCCTCTTCACTTTTACTTTTTTTTTTTTTTTTTTTTTTTTTGAACTTTTCAAGAGCTAGCCACCTTACCCTTTTTGTAGGTTTGACCAACGCCTACCTTTCTTTGATGTACTTAATGACCTATAATCTTTATTTATATATGTTAAAAAAGCATTTGAGAAATAATTCTTTTCATTTTCCAAAAATAAAAATTAGAAAGTAGTATACATAATTTCTCTAGCTTCTATGTAGGGTGCATAAAAATATTAATGGGTTTATGGTATAGCACAAGCAACTTTGAAAATTGGGGTTTCGGACTTGAAATTTTGCATCTAGGCAATGAATAAAAAAATAGTTAAATTTACATAAAATAAAGGAGAAAATGATGATATCTTTATTAGTGGATGGTCCATGTAAGAAATTAAAAATAGATAGAAAGAAATAATTTTTAGACCTCTTTATTAAATTTGTTAATTTGTTCAGTATTTGGGTTGCAGTGTGAGTAAGGGGAATAGAGCGAATTGTAGCAGGCATGCATGCATAATTAGAAGAAGAGAGAGATGGTTTGGAAAAGGCACGAGTACCTATGCATATGCATGTGCAGAGTGACAGAAAATAAGGGAAGCCATACATGTATTTACCCTAAAGTCTTGGAACAAATGAAATTTAGTTTATGCGTACGGCAACGAGATGGAGAGATGTTCGCTGATTGGATGGTCGCAGATGGCACCATTTGTCCTACTCTTTGTCGAGTAGATCAGACTGCTCTACTTTTGTCCTCGTGGTCTCCCTCTCTTGAAAAAGTCAGCTTTCCTTGTCCCTCTTTATCCCGTTTCCTTGCTTCTCCATGGCCCTGCCTTGTCTAATCTGTATACTTCATTCACTTATTTAAAAAAATTTCAACTCTCTGAATACGATACGTTTTCTCAAACGAGATTCTGTTTTTTCACATTAAGCTATAGCCTTCTTCAATCCTCTAGAGAGAGGAAGAAAGAGGGAGAGAGTACACATAAAACAAGAAGCACTCTGCATCATTCACAGGACTGCTCTGCTGCATTATGTAATTATTTTTATCATCTTTTCTTCTCACCATACACCTTTTTCTCCCCGTGCTTTGAGTTTTAGCCACGGGCTTCTTTGATTGATCATCTGGGTCTCCATTAATTGTTGATGATGTGCTTTAGAGCTCCATCTACTCTGTTATTATTATTATATCTATGAACAACTAATCTCTATTCTTGCACTTTGACTCGATATCTTGGTTTCTGCTGGTTCATACTCTGGTTTAGTGGACACCATTCATAAGTTTTTTACATCATCATGCATGGTGGAGCTGTTCAATTAGAAAGAATGTCTAACTGGGTCCTAAATTTTTGCATCTTGTGATGGATTTTGAATTGTGTTCACATTTAAAAGGGAATTGGCTTTAGCTCCTTGGCAATCTTTGGGTTAGCCGTACTTTCACCCCATGAATTTGTTTAAATTTTACAGTTTGGCTCGATGTGAATTGCATTGTGGGTCTAAAACTTGTTTTCATTCTCCATTTTATATATTCTGAATTACTCAATTAGGTATTACTTGTGTTTTGCTACATCAGAGGAGTATACTTGGTTGCTTGATGCAACAATTAGGGAATCATGGATTGTGATATTGTTTGAGATATGCCGTTTGAATAGATCCATAACACATTTACAGGGTGCGGATGCTTAGATTATAATCTGAACATGCTTATTCTATATTAGTTCGAAACTAGAAGACCATAAAGCCATGCAATTTGTTATAATTTTATCTGCATGAGAAGAAGAGAAGTTTATGTGCTAGTTTGATGACTGCAAAGCATCCACAAAAAACACAGGCTCATTATTAGAAGTGGGAACTTATATCCATATTACTATGCGGGTGAGATCTTACTTTTTATGTTGCCATTTGAAGGATCCCTTGATTAGAATGGTGCCTGCAATAGTAAAAGAGATCTCTTCACTCATAAATCAATTTAAGTAAGAACCTTCCCATTAAGTGTATTGACTTTTTTAAAGTTGGATAATTTTGATACATTCATTTTTTCTAGTATGTTTTCTGTTCTCAACACGGTCTTTATTGTATTTATTCTTGATAAATCTTGATGAAATGATTGAAACAACCATAATGCATTTACTACTATTTGTTTTCATCCTTTCCAGGATGACGGTCATCATAACAGATTCAGTCGCATGGCTGAAGGACTAGCACTTTTCCAAGTTGATGTGATTTTTGGGGGGGACGTTTGATTGAGGAAATTTTGGGGGTGTCTATATGCAAAAAAGAGCCATGAGATTTTCTTTGATACTACTTCTAATTTCCTTCTTAAGTTTGGAAACCAGTGCTGCATACACAAAGCCACGTCAGATTCTTTTGGATACAGATGTAGATACCGATGATTTTTTTGCCATTTTCTATCTTCTAAAGCAGAATAGATCGGAGATCAATTTGAAGGTTGGTTTCTACTTGAATTTGGTTTTCTATTACTGTGTTATTCCTTGAAACATGAAATTCCACTACTTGCTTCTTGCACAACCTATGTGAAATTAATCCTCATACAGGATTGGAACGAAGGCCTAATAAAACGCTATTTCACTTTCCTGCCTTTCACTGAACTTTTCACAAGCACAATTTACTCTTAACTTTGCACATGGAATTTTATTTCCACCTCTCTCTCTCTCTCTCTCTCTCT